TTACAACATGCTAGTTAGCAGTCCTACAGTATATATAGCTCGGTCAATTACTTTGCAGCTCGGTCATTTGTATTTCGGTCAATTTTCCAGTCGAGTCTTCGGCAACTTAATTCACTTCGAATGTCAAATAACAGCCGGTGATGGATTGAATATCAGGTACATCGATCAGGTACAGCGCAGAAGTAGGTTAGAGAATGTCGGGAATCATGAGGTCCGGTAACGAATGTTCGGCCAACTGAGGTGGCAGGTCAATGGGACCTTCCAGCGAAAGAAAGGGTGCCCACAGCACCCGAAAATGGTCTGCAAGCCTGCGACGGATGTTAGCCTGTCGGGCAGCATAAGCTCGCAAACCTTCAATGTCAGCGGCACACTCCCCAACGCATGCCTTTCCCTGTTCTTCCCACCGCGCCTGCTGCCAGGTAAAAAATTCCAGCACCCTGCGCATCTCTTCCATGAGTAATTCGACCTCTTCTGACCACCGCAGTGCCCTCGCACGGGTTTTGCACCACTCGATTCGTACACCTTATAGTATGTTAGTTCGCAAAATATAGACCACGACGAGTGCTTACCATCGTCGTCACCTTCATTGCCATGGTCAACGCCGTCCATCATCCAGATCCAGGATACATGACGTCTCCCTTCGCCAGTAGCATATGGGTCCACAAGGGGCTTGACGTGAGTGTCGGCCAATTCCTGCAACCTGCCCTGCCAACCGGTCTTCTTCATGATTGTAGCTAGGCTCTTGAGCGCCATCCATGCTGACCGATAACGTTTCACGCAGGCCGTACGCCTTCGGTGGATGCGGGCAAGGGCATTCTGAGCACGCGTGTTTGCGCCTTGCCCGCGCACCCATTCCCTTTTGAATGTCAGTAAGGAGCAGTGAATGCGTAGACACTGCCGCAATTCTTCTAGCGCATCGTGAGCCTGCGCGTAGCGCAATTCCCATTCGTCCTCTCGTAGGCGTGGATCGCACGGCTTGGTTTTCAGTTCTGAAGGTAACCAGAGGTGTATACATTCGGCGTTCTCGTGGCCTTCACGTGCGGCTGCCTGATCAATAAGGCCTTGAACGGCCGGGAGGTAAAGGACCTGTGTGCGTCGCCACATATCGATCCTACGACGAAGCGAGTTCCGCATCTGCGTGAGACTGCCTTTCTGCGTGTCGGTAGCATGTTGACCCATCGACTCGGCGATATTGGCCAGACGATGCCTTCGAAAGTATGTCAGCCTTGTTTGTGGCCGTCAAAGGGCAAATGCTCACTGTTCCTGCTCCAGGTCTATGCCTGAAGCAATAAGCACACTAGGCGAGATTTGTGGGTGCAACGAGGAGTCTATACCTCGCTGAAGGTCCTCGGCCTCCAGCTCCGCGAGCTTTAGCCTCACTCCTGCTTGCGTTATAGCTAGACAAAATCATTAGTCCAAGGTCACTTTAATAGCAGAAAATACTCGCCCATGGCTTTGGCCTCGAGCGGATTAGAGATCGATGTGTCATTCAGATTATCTTCCCAAGCTTGCATTTCTTCTAACCACGCAGAGCGGTGCTCGGGAGTGATGACAGCGTCAAATTCCTCGAATGCGAGTGCATGCGCAGCCTTCTCAGCTAGAGCATCCTTCATCTTGTACAGGAGAGACGTGCCCAACCCGACGGTCTTTTTCCAGTTCCAGTCTCCAAAGTGGTCATCCAGCGTGTCACGACGACAACCAGGACCCATCGCTTTCGTACTTGATGCCACAGGGTTGATATTCGACCAGCCCCTCTCCGGGGCTTCACCATCCGTCCGGCCAACGAAACGCGTGAAGTTAAACGAGAAGATTGTCTGACATTTTGAGACATGTGCGGGGAGGTGGAATTTTGGTACGAAGAAGCGTATATACTTGGTGAGATGGTCCAAGCGATGGGATTGAGGAAAGGACTTCATGCGGGCCCAGAGCTTTTTGTGCCATTGGCACGCAATATCGTATGACACATTGAGCATTTCAAGCTGCGTACCACGCAAAGTCGAGAAGAATAAATAATCCATATTGATGTACCTGTCAAGCGCATGATAAGACATAGTAAATACAAACGCAACGAGACCGTGACTTACTTCTCCCCCTTCTGCAAATCGCCGACACCATTTGGCCGTTTAAAATTATGACGGGCACAATCTACTGTGCCGACGCCAGTAGCAGCAAGCCCTTGCGACTGCTTTGTATCTGCCGTGTTGACAGCGTTATGGCTCGAACAAGTACTTTTCTGTAAGATAGTGTGAGTACACGTCAATTGATTAACCAATCAGTCACATACCTCCTGCGTCTCAGTGAGATGTTCGGCCAGGAAGGCCTTGTACTCTTTCTCCTCGACGAAGTATGACCAGCCTCTCGAAAGACTTGGGTCTGCGTGATCGCTCGATACGTTCCGTCTTTTCAATCGAAAATTTGCGTCGATCGCTAAAAATACTGCATACAACCACCTAAAAACACCAGCCTTACATAGTGGATCAATATCTGTGGTGCAACACACCGTTTTGCTTTCGAAGCAGTTTGCCAACCCTCAGGTAAATTCTTCCCTGGCTGCGGACATGCTGGACATAGCACCACGCATTCACCCTGCGATGTACCATTTACACCACTGGGATCGTGCCCACGTCCGAAACGTTTCAGCATTGTGAGATGGCGCCACATACGCACCATCCGCATGAATCCGTCATAGCGATCCTAAGGTAGACAGTAAGAGACTGAAGGAACAAAGGTAGATATAAGCGTACCGGCATGCGTTTCATCATCCCTGTATTATCCGTGAGTCGAACAAGAGAATGGTAGAATTCGTAGGCTGATGCCTTCGACTCGAAGGATAAGATTTGGTAGTAATGCAGAAGTCGAAACGTGGCCGCTGTCCTAGGGTCAGTTGGCGTGGAAGGGAACCATCCGTGACGGAGGAGTTGTTTAACATGTGTCTCGGATGTCTCACAACCGCAGAAGTCCAGTCCTAGTTCGTGTAGTCCGTTCGTGTCTATAAGCACAAAGTCGTTGTTAAACGCCGGCTGCGGGAGGATGCATGGTTGACCGATGGGATGCCCGAGTTGTACTCGAAGGCCTAGCGTCTTCAAGGAAGAGCTCTCGAAGAATACACCATTCCATTGCTGCAAATTAATCAATATATTTCATCTTTCTCGTAAGAGATCACATACCTGTATGCGATGGGTGGGAGACCGGGCATGATTTGCCAGTAAGCATGTACCACAGTACAGTTGCATGTCGTCGCAATCCTGACATCGGAATTCTGCAGGATTGGTGCAACAGCCTGCACATGAATCCCTTGCATTTTCACTGCGCCCATCCAACCGAATGATCTCCGAGAGATATGTATCACGTTCCTTTGTCCAAACATGCAGAGGATTGACCTGACGAAGACAGTGAGTAAGGAATGATGCGACAGAAATAAAGATAACTCACGCCAGCTGGGCGCTTGTGTTTCTGACTTTGAGTGATTGTTCCGTCTTCGCCAGCATCCATGGAAGGTTCATCAATCATCGCAAAATCAAACTCGGTGCTTCCGTCCTCAGGCCCTGCAAATTGGGAAGACTGCTGTGTGGACGAAGGTGACGGGCGACAAATCAGATGGGCAGCAGACACCTGCATATTCCCATCTCGACGTCCTGAAAACCTGAAGGCGGTATGGACCGTCTCTCGCAACTGTGAGGTAGGTGGTGCATAGTGATTGAGCTTGGGTCGTTTTCGATTGTTGACTTGTCGAAAGGTGATATTTAAAGGGGCACATTGGATAGTTTGATGACTGGTTGGGGCGACACGCTCGGTGACACCATCAATTCGGGTGGAGCCTGCATTTGAAGAATTTCTAGCAGGTAACATCGCTCGGGCAATGGGCTCAGGCAATGGGCTTGTGCATGAGAAGGTGTGACACAATGTGACATGTTAGCATGACAGAAGCTTGCAACTCATCGAAGTCCAACTCATCGAAGTCCAACTCATCGAACTACTCACTTACTCACTGCCAGTGCAATGCAAGAACTACGACTGCAGCGGCCAAGGCTACTGCATCACCCAATATGGATGGCTTTCCCTGTACAAAAAGCCCGAGGTCAGTTCCCTTTTCAACATCAATTCTCCTCCCATACTTACTACACCCAATGATGATCTCCCCCAGCACGATAATAGCTGCCGTGCCTGCGGCGCTCATCGCTGATGGTAATGATGGTAATGGCACTGGTAAGCAGCGATATCTCCGAGCGCGCTCTGGTACTTACTAGCAGGATAGATGACCACTCTGCGGCACCCATCACTGACGGTACTGGTGATCTTACTAGCAGGATAGATAACCTCCCTGCGGCGCCCATCGCTGACGATACTGGTGACAATGGCACTGGTAAGCAACAATATTCCTAAGCACGCTCTGCTTCTTACTAATGTTCCACAGATAATCTCATTGCGCTCTTGGCCCAGATGAATATCACTGGGCAGGAGGCATCTGACGTGACGTCCAAGATCCATGATGCGGTCCAGAACGCGCTGGTCGCCGCCGTTTCTGCTATCAGTGCTGTTTCGACCACTTCGGCATCAACTCCACTCATCCCAGTGTTGACTCCTTCGACCACTTTGACATCAGCTCCACTCATCCCAGCGTTGACTCCTGTTGTGAACTACAATGTGCCAGCGGCTGATGCTACGGGTCCCTTCTACTGGGTGACCCGTGGCCGCCGTATTGGCGTATTCTCTACTTGGTAAGTGATTCGCGTTATTTAGATTAACGGCAGCTGATTTGTGATCCGCCAACAGGCAGCAGACCTCGTCCCATGTCATTGGCGTGAGCAGGGCGTCTTTTTCGAAGGTCCGCTCAGTTGCCGAAGGAATTCAGCTGATGGAAGAGGCCATTGGCCGCGGCGAAATGGAGGTGTTGACGTAACGAATGTATACCTGAAGCTTTTACATAGTAGTGCAGCGTGAATCTCAATAAGAAATATGCAATTCAAAGTGACATTAGTGCGCAAGCCTCGCGAGCCTATTCAAAATTTGTTGTAGTTCTGGTACAAGAATCCCTTGAGTAAATGAACTACGGCTAACTCGGCGTCTCCATCGCTGAGCGCATGACAATAAATATCTTCCACCATAGCAATGGTGTCCCTCATGCTCGTGCACACTTGTTCTGCGGCACGCCACTCGTCACAAACCCCGCACAATTGGAGGATACCGTCTTGTCCTTGACTGGCCCTGTCAAGGAAGTCTTCGATGCTCGACATCGCGCGCTTGAGAATCTCTCTATCCCCGTGAGTTCCGGGAGCATCTGGGATAGACTTCGTGTATTCGGCAAAGACGCCCAAGGTGAATTTTTGCGGAGATTTGATGTGCGCCATGAAGTCATCTTTAGCATACTTCACCACGGCAATACATTCAGCTAATGTCCCTCTGATATTTATATTAAAAACACAGCGACAATAATAATATTCAGCACATACATTGATTCATCGGCATCGCTCGCACACTCGTCACTGCCGTCGTTGCCCTTATCCAAGTTGTCACCCGCACCCTTGTCACCCGCACCCTTGTTGTCGCTGCCGTCATCGTCCTTTCAACGGTTTTTGTTGAGGTGATATTTCTCTCTTCTTTTTGCAAGGATCTCCTCACGGCACCTGCATCTGTAATCAGGGCATCGTAGGCTGAACGAAATAGACGATACTTACTTAGCGTAGTACCGGGAACGCTTGGCTCTCATAGCCTGAAGCTTGGCCGCGTCGGTTTTATATTTAGTTGGGGGGGCCATAGCGAGCAACGGTGTCGTTTGGTGTGGAGGAGAGAAAAAAGAGGATGAGCTTCGGATGCTTCGATTCGTCGTCGGACTGTATTGAGTTAAGAGCCTCCATTGGTTCGTCGGACCGTATAGATTACGAGCCTCCGTTCAAATGTCGATGGCCCATGCATGTGCTGAGTACACGCTGTAGATAAAACGAACTGTAAGTGCGGTGCATGGCATGGATGATAATCAGCACATCTACTCATTGTGAGACAATGTGCACACACCTGCTAAATCATCACTGCCAGTGCAGCGCAAGTGGAGCGTTATTGGATGGACCTTAATCCGCAATTCAATATTGAAGTTTCAAGTGGAGTGAACTGACCTTGCCGATGTAGAAACAACAATACTGAGAGGAACAAATGAATGCTCCAAACTGTATCTATAATGTTGTGAGGTCGCGCGTTGCCTAGTCTGCTATTCTTGAGAAGACAAGTACGTTCGACCCTAAAGGGGAAGCGAGTGCAGCAAGGTTCTAGAAGTAGGCGCTACTGGTCGGCCAATGCGAAGCGCGAGAAAGCGCGCAGGTGCGCGCGAGGCGCGGGAAGCGCGCGTGAGCGGAGACAAGTGAGAGTAAGTGTGAGTTTGCTTAAGTGGTGATTAGATGAATAACAAGAGATACGAGCGCGAGGTGTCAAAGAATAGATTGCAACTATATTCTCTAGGTGGTAAGTGGGTGGTAAGTGGGAGGTAAAGTTCTTGTTGGAAAGTAAAGTGTCTAATAATATGTACTGCTGGCGCTTATATGGCGCCTAAGCACTGTCATGCGGAGCCGAAGCGCTACCGAGTAGGTATGTAAAGATATATGTAAGTAAGGGTCCATGGTAAAAATAGAGGTGGAACGATATGTAAATAAGAGAAATGGGAATATACGCACTAGAGAGCTTGGTGGACAGTGGATGGATGCTTCTGGATGGCTGGCGCTATAGGGCGCTCAAGCGCGGGAAAGCGCGCGCGCGTATACATCGTAAAGCGCGGGAAGTCGTGCGTGCATGCTGCGCATTGCGTGGGAAAGCTGCGCCTCGTAAGGGAATAGCTGTGGATAGCACACAGAGTGATGCTGCAAGTCGTGCTGTGTACTCCCTAGTGGAAAGTGCCATATCACACAATGCGAGGCACGAGTCTCTACACCGAGTCGTTATTCAGTGACTTACTATTGTGATACGAGTAGTCGTTAATCATCACCGGAGTAGGTTGGACATGTAGGTCAGACCTTAATAGCTTTACCTGTAAAGTAGTACTACTGAATCCTGATCTAATCATGGTAGGACCGCAATGAGTTTGAAGTTAAGTTTGTCCGGTTCAGAATGAACTATGCTCACTCACAATTTGATGCTGAACATGCAGCAGACATGACCGAGCTACTAGGACACATCATACCTCAACCGATTCCTTGGGCGATGATACGTCTGGAGGAGATATCACTGCATACTAGTAGCATGGTAGGACCGTATTGACTGCAATTCAATGTACCGATCACTGACTTTAATTCCTCACATAAGCAAGCGCTCTCACAAGCCGACTCAGATCCGTAAGTGAATGATTGTTCAAACACTGGCGCTCACAGAATATTTACAGGTAAGTATCATACGAACTAACTACTGGTATGCACCGACACTCACTAGGTTGAAGCACTGTTACCTTCCGGTCCAGGCCCTGCTTCGATGATCAAGTGCTTCCGAGTCTGCTTCGGTGGCGCTTCCTACAGCATCTATGTCCCTTAGGCCTCAGGTCCGCCTTGTGGCTTAACCGTATTTGTTGCTATGGGTCGGGCTGATCTTTTTCAGAACATTACATGTGAAGGTACGGACTATACATTTTTTCACCCAGTGATCACTGGTGGTCATCACGAGTTTTATATATTTCACGACGAACACTATGTACAGAGAGATTGTAGATATCAAGGTTGAAAATATCATTGTACTACATAGCATCATTTTGCGAGTCTCCCGGAGATGGTAATGTAGATGTCGCATCTGAGAAATGAGGATTCTCTGAATTAAATTAGATTCAAAACATCAAAAAAGAGTGACTGGTAGTGAAGGCGGTGATTCGGTCTAGCGATTCGGTCCAGCGATTCGGTCCATCGATTCGGTCCATCGAAATGGGCTCTATGATATTCAAAGGACGAAGACGAAGACGAAGGAAAATATCCCTCCCTAACTCACTACGTACTGAAATTATCACCCCATCCCTCAGGTCTGACCGCTGTATGTGCCAGGATGCTGTCCCTCTGCTCCTACTGATCTCAGTAATAGATGCCTCGGAAATGGACAAGCAAGGAGCAAGAGGAATTTCTCACCTCCATGTTGGGAGAATTTCGCATGCGCGCCACAGAGAAGAAATACGAGGAGTTCTGGAAAAAAGTCAACAAATTGTTTTTTGAGAAATGGCCAGAGCGAAGGGCCTGCTTTGGTGACTTGCCTGCTGACCACGTCCTTACGCCAGATCAAGTGAAAGATTTGGCAAGCGCTGTGGAAAGTCGTGAAGAGGTAAGCACTACCATCTGTGAGCATGCGAAACACACGTACCAACTCATTTTGATTAGCAACTAGCTACATGGTACCGTTGGCGGAAAAACCCTGCTCACCTGGGCCGCACGAGTGGTGTTAAAGGAGCTTTGAAGTTCGACGCTGTGTTAGCTGGTGGTGTGGAACTTAAGGGGACCCGCGCACCGCAAAAAATGGACATTTACTCCTACAAATACTATGGAGAAAAAGTCAAGGACACTGCAGATGCCGAAATCAGAGCACAGAATGTTACTGACCGTGGGCCAAAGCTAAATAAGCGCCGCGAGGTCACGCGCCGTTTGTACTCTGAAGAATGCGAGGACGTCAAGAATAAGGTTGAAAGGAGATACCAAAAGGCAAAGGCAAAGTATGCAAAAGCACGTCTACGCCAGAAGTCGGGGAAGATGCCAAGAAATGACGACGCAACCAAGATTAAGTACGTACTTCTGTCGTTGATCACATGGTTGTATCTCAAGCGCATTTAAAAACTGCAGGGCTATCCGTGAGCTTGGTCCTATGCTTGATCGGATCCTGAAGTACCTTGCACATGCCACGGGTGGGTGGAAGTTCACGATCCTTATGGGAGGGAAGGATCCTAGCACTGGAGAGGTGTCTGTGTTCAAGTGAGTGATGCGTGTTCAAGTTGATGAGGAAGTGCGCTTACCTAATATTATGAAGCTATCATATTGGCGAACTTGAGAGTGGGGCACAGTTTGATCAGACTTACGCCAATTTTGATGCGGTGCAGGGTGCATTCCTAGCCTTCGTCAAAGACGCTCTCGGTACGTCAATATAAGTGTCAGTTCGAAAGCATGCACTCACCTTTTCACTAGCATTTGAGTCGACACTGCCCCAAGACTCAGATGCTGAGGAAGCAGAAGATTCATCATCAGACTCGCATGACGGTTCAGATGAGGAGTGGGCGACAACGAGTGGCAGTGAGCATGGTGGTTGTCATGTGGAAGAAGAGGACTTGGATGATCTCCTACCAAACAGCGCCCATCGAATCAACACTGCGGGCATGTACTGGATGACTCCTCAGTCTGAGTCATCCATCGAAGACGATTTTGGCGCCGCCATAGCATCAACTGATGCATCACTTCCATGTGCGCGGGTCTTAGGTGATGCATCATCTGGTTCTCAGCTCCCGAGTGATTCCCACTTGGCTTCGTTCAACAACCCTCCAAACCTACCCGTGTTTGACCACGAAGTGTTTACTGCTCTCATCAATGACCTGAATTTTAACATCAGCATTTTGGACGCTCTCCCCGAAGCCCCCCCCTTCAATTCAATCCATATCCTGAAGTCTTTATCCCTCCAGCTCCTCGCACTGATGATGCATCATCTACACAATATCCTGAAGTTTTTATCCCTCCGGCTCCTCGCGCTGATGATACATCATCCATCCAACATCCCCAAGTCTTCATCCCTCCAGCTCCTCGCGCTGATGATGCGGCTCCTCACGCCCATGATGCATCATCTACTCAATATCCCGAAGTCTTTATCCCTCCAGCTCCGGCTCCTCACGCCCATGATGCATCATCTACTCAATATCCCGAAGTCTTTATCCCTCCAGCTCCTCTGGCTCCTCCCGCTGATGATGCATCATCTGCCCAATATTTGCAAGTCGTTATCCCTCCAGCCCCTCCCGCTGATGATGCATCATCTGCCCAATATTCTCAAGTCGTTATCCCTCCGGCTCCTCGTGCCGATGTTGAAAATATGGGAACACCCAATGAATCTGATGGTGCTGGCGCAGCACCAACTTCAGCAGTCCAAGCTGGAGCTCAGCGTCGTCGTGGAAGGTGCACACCACAATGTTCACAACTGACCGTGCCCACTTCCTCGGCAGATGAGATCCAACCACTCCCAGATGGGCATCGCCGAGTGCGCAAACCCTTCAATGCAAGAGAACGTGACAACGATATTGGCGGGCCAACAAAGTAAGTCGGTCCTTTATGTGCTTCAAGTTGCATCGCACTGATATGACTACATCCTAGGCATGCTCGGCATACATAATCAGTAAATAGTGTCTTATCTACATATCTTGTTGCGAGATCCATGTCAGTAATAGTGATTAAATTGAATGTTTCTTGTTGTACGAACGAAATGTAAATGTCCGCTATCATATTGTTCCGCATGCCCGGTGCAAGCAGACGTACAGGAAGACACTCAGTTCGAAGTTCATACATTCAAGGCACAGCGGTGTTTCAGTTCTGCGGGATAAATTCATCCTTGCATACATATTTTACAAAGGGAGCTGGACTTAGTGGTAAAATTTTGAAAAATGATGTCATGCACGTATTTGACTTGAGCGCAAGCCTTCAGTGAAGACTGTGGAAAGGTAAGAGGCCTCCCAAAAACGAGTTAGATAGCCGGATGGCCAGATGGATGCCTGGATCTAGTGTAAGTAAGCAAGGTACAGCATAGGTAAGCAAGGTACAGACAAGGGAAGCAAGG